TGCCCAGGGAGGGTTCTGGGAGGAGGCGATACTTGGGCTGAAGAAGCAGCACCAGCAAAAGCAGGACAGTTCCCAGCAGAGGTCAGAGGGCAGATGCCCCCCTTTCCTGCCGCTTCTCCTTCAGTAAAATGGGGTAATAACGGTACCTGTCTCGCCCTCTCGGTTTGGCCTGCGGACTGAAGGGTCCCAGGTTCGACTCGCTCAGACACATGCCCAGTTGCTGGGCTCGATCCCCAATAGGGGGCAGGCAGGAGGCAGCCGATCAACGATGCTCTCTCATCTATTGATGTTTCTATCTCTCCCTCTCCCTTCCTCTCTGAGATCAATACAAATATTTTTAAAAATTAATAATAATAAAACAAGGGGACTTGGGAAGATTAAATGATACAAATAGGTACTCAGTGCAGAGCCTGGCGCATGGCGAGGTTCACAGCTGTGCCCATTACTGTTGTTGTTGTGATGCTCACAACCACCCTGGGGGGAGACCACAGCCTCCACAGACGGGCGGCTGGGCTGGGTCTCCCCGGGGGTCACACAGCCAGGATGCCCACCCAGGCTCCATACCCCAAATCCAGGAATATTTCCTGCCTCCTCCATTGCTTTGGGATGGACACCCAAAATAAGCAATCTGGGGTTGAGGGTCAGAGGAGTGCTAAATGACCTAATCCAAAAATCAATCAATCAATCAATCGCACGTCTTTAGTCCTTTCATGGTTAAGCCCAAACTAGCAGAGGAAAAATGCTAGTGAGTCTCCAGTTCACCCAGCTCTCACCTCTGCGGAGCAGGGGCCTCTTGACAACACCCTGACCATTCCTGATTCCCATAAACCATCCCGCCAACCCCACTGGGGTGAGGTCCCTTCGGTGGGCACCAACTCTTTCTCCAACAGAGAGAAATAATAATAATCGCTAAACTCCAATCCTTTAGGAAATCCTATTAGGTTTATCTTCCAAAGACATCCAGAATGTGCAATCTCACTTCTAGTCAACATTGTAATAAGGCAAGAAAATAAAAGGTATAGGAATTGGAAAGGAAGAAAAAAAACTATCTTTATTCACAGGCAACATAGTCATCTATACATAAAATCCTAAATAATCTACAAAAAATCTACTAAAAAAAATAAGTGAGCTTAGCAAGGTTGTAAGTATATTTCTATATACTAGCAAAAACAATCAGAAAATTTTACATATCATTTAAAATAAGACCATAAAATATGAAATAATTAGGGTAAATGTAAATAACAAATGTATGACATACTAGTAAAGACACTAAATCCCTGCCCAGTGTGGCTCAGTTGGTTGGCACATTAGCCCATACACCAAAAAGTGGCAGGTTCGATTCCCAGTGGGAAAGCTGGAGGCACCTGGGTGAGGGGCCCTGGGAGCTGGGAGCAGGGGAGGGTGTGGTCTGAACCCCATTTCAATAAGGACTCTGGCTGTCGGGGGAATGAACTGTAGGAGGTCAAAGGTGAACGCTGGAGACCTACCAGGACCTCTGAACACGGCATGCCCCACCCCTCGCGGCCACTGGCCACAGGACGCCCAGCCTCAAGCCCTACAGCCCAATCCTTCCTGGAATACAGTTGACTGCACCCCCCACTGTGTGCTCCCCCACTGTGTGTTCCCTTAGGACAGGCAGGTTCCTAAGGAGAGGAAGGTAGGGATGGTTCCAGGGAGCCTCCATGGCCTACAGGCCAGGGGGTAGGAGAGGGAGGAGCCTCAGGTGGCCCTGGGGCCAGGGGGTAGGAGAGGGAGGAGCCTCTGATGGCCTACAGGCCAGGGGGTAGGAGAGGGAGGAGCCTCTGATGGCCTACAGGCCAGGGGGGAGGAGAGGGAGGGATCGAGGGTTTTTCTCCCTAAAATCAATTTTTTAAAAAAAGGTTTTAAAGGCACTAAAATGGGTGGAGAAGAAATGACCTGACCCAAATAACTTCGCACATGGTGTTTTTACCTGATACTATAATGCTAAAGATAAAAATAACCACACAAATACTGTTCGCTGGGTGGTAAACTGGTTTCTCATAAGGCATAGCTTGGCAATCTCGAGACTACTTTACATGTACACTCAGTTTGGACAAATTACATGTACACTCAGTTTGGACAAATAGGTAAATATACAATTGATAACAAGAGCCAGGCTTCTCACTGTCAGAGAAAGAAATTACCAATATGCAATGGGAAACCCTGTGGTGCTGGAGGTGGAGCTTAATTCCCCTCTCCTCTGCGAGCTAGACTCAGTGATTCACTTCTGACAGAGAAGGAAAAAGGAAAATGGAATCTTGACAGTGGAGGATGTGGCCAACACCACCTTAACCCAGTGACCAAGGTTGACATCACCACTGATCACTCTTGACATCACCAATATCACATTGACATCATCAATATCACTATGTATCCCCTAACATGATGCAAAGAGTAGGACAACCCCCCAAAACCCATACCTTCAGTCTAATACTGAGAAAATATGAGAAAAACGCACATTGCGGGACATTCTACAAAATGCCTGACAAGTGCTCTTCAAAAATGTCAAGGTCATGAAACACAAGGAAAGATTACCTGAGGAACTGTCACAGGGGAGGAGACGGAGACAGGACAACTAAAAGCAATGTGGTATCTGGCTTGGATCCTGGAAAAAGCAAAGGACATTAGAGGAAGCCGGGTGAAGGGTATACAGGGGCTCTTTGTGCTGTCTGTACAGCTCTTCTGTAGGTCCAAAGTTATTTCAAACGAAAAAGTAAAAGAGAAAGCCTATCAATTAATATAGCAAATACTTTGGAATAAGTTGGACAAACGATGAAACATTACTGAGAGAAAGTAACAATACAGATAGATGGGGAGATATACCACGTTCATGGATTGAAAACTCAATATTGTTAAGATATCAATTCTCCCCAAATTGTCCTATGGATTTAATCCAACCCCAATAAGAATCCCGGAAAGCTCTTTTGGAGAAACTGACAAGCTGACTCTAAAATGTATGTGGAAATGCAAAGGATCTCAAATAGTCAAAATAATTTTGAAAAGGAACAAAGCTGGAGGGATGATATTGCCTGATCTCCAGACTTACTGTCAGGATACAATAACCAAGACAGCATGGTGTAGCCCTAGCCGGTTCGGCTCAGTGGATAGAGTGTTGGTCTGCAGACTGAAGGGTCCCAGGTTCAATTCCAATAAAGGCATGTACCTCGGTTGTAGGCTCGATTCCAAGCCCTAGTCGAGGTGTGTTTGATGGCAACCAATCGATGAGTTAACTCACATCGATGTCTCTCTCTCTCTCTCTCTCTCCTCTCTCTCTCTCTCTCTCTCTCTCTCTCTTTCTCCAGTCTCCCTTCCACTCTCTGTAAAAATCAATGTAAAATTATCCTCAGGTAAGGATTAGCAAAAAAAAAAAAAAAAAGACAGTCTGGTATTAGCATAAAGAGAGACATATTGATCAATGGGAAAAAGAGAGGCCAAGGATAGACCCACACATACGGTCAACTGATTTTCAACAAAGGTGCAAAAGACATGTCAACAGGGAAAGAAGTCTTTTCAACAAATGGTTCTCAAACAATTGAATAATCACATGCAAAAACTAAACAAACAAAAAAACTTTGACCCTTATCTCACACAATATACAAAAAAAAGAAAAGAAAAAAGCTCCAAAGCAGATCAAAGACCTGAATGTAAAATATAAAACTTTTAAAAGAAAATATAGGCTAAAATCTTTGGGGTCTTGGGGCAGAGATTTCCTAGCTATAACACTAAATGCACAACCTGTAAAATAAAAAATTGATAAATTGGACCTCATCAAAATTTTCCAATTTTGCTCTTCAAAAAACATCATTAAAGAGAATGGGGGCAGAGTTGGGGGGGCGGTGGGAAGCCAAAGACTGAGAGAAAAATATTTTAAAATTGCGTGTCTAGGTAAAGGGCTGTAATCAGAATATATAAAGAGTCCTCAAAACTCAATAATGAGAAAACAAACAACCCAGCTTTATAAATGGATATAAGATTGGAAGAGGCCCTTCACCAAAGAAGGCACACAGACGGCAAACAAGCACACGCAGAGGTGCTCAGGGTGACTGTCCTCAGGGAGATGCAGAAACCACTTCCCTGAGACGCTGCACCTCAGACGATAAAGTTCAAGACTGTCCAGTGCGGGAGACGGAACCTCAGACACCGCTGGTGGGGACACACGTGGTGCACCACTTCAGAAATCAGTTTGAGAGTTTTTTGAAAGTTAAATACACGTCCACCTACCGTACCATCCAGCTATCCCTCTTCCAGGTACTTGCCTACTGAACCACATCTTCCAACAACAGGAATGATGGCCCTTCCGGTCCCCCCACCCCCACCCCACCCCCGTGTGCCCTCTGCCTTGGTCTAAAGGGATGTGGGGAGTAGAAGAGCTCATCAAACGCAAATGGCTTCATTACAAAGGGGGTGGGGCGTCCAGGGGGAGCTGAGCACAGGACTCTAAGGGGACCTGAGGACCCCACATCCCACTGACAGGCCCCGGCAGCCCGAGAGCACCTGTAACCCACAATGTCCTCGGGACAGGAATCCCCGCTCTCTGTCACTCAGGCATTCATTCATTCACTGTCCATTATTCGGCGAGCACTTACGGGGCACCTGCTGCATGCGCCCCCAGGCCAGGCTGGTAGGGAACGGGCGCCTTGGACACCTTCTTGAGACCAGATGCCCCTGGCGCTGGCTTTGCCATTTGCCCTCCATTAGGACCACCGGGAGGGATTTCCTGTCCCCCCCCCCGCCCTGGCTTGCAGACCTGGAAGGGGCAGGGGTCTGGGTGGCATGGGGGCTGATCCCCTTGGGCCCCCCTCCCTTCTGTGCTCCAGAACTGCCGGCTGCCGGGACCCCCACGGCCCCCACCTCCTCTGAGCAGGGCCTTCTTCTCCCTGCTCATCCTCACAAGTCAGGACTCTCGTCCCTGCAGCTGGATGCCCTGTCCTGCCCACCAGCCACCCTACTGCTGCCGCCCTTCCAGCCCCTGGGGTTGGCACTGTCACCAGCCTGCTTACCCTCTGCCTGCTGCCCTCCAGGAGCTACCCCCCAGGTGCATCCTGGGCGGGTGCTGTCAGGAGGCGCAGTGAGGAAGGGGCGGGGTGCAGAGAGACGTCCCTGCCGCCCAGGTGCCCGCATGCTCCCTGCAGGTGCCCGGGGCCAGTGCCCAGTGCTGTGTCCGTGCGTTAGGCCTCAAGTCTGGAGTCGGGCTCACGTTCCCTCTGTGGCTCACCCCCGGTGACCTTGGGCACATCCCTGGCCCTCGTTGGGCCTCTTGGCTCTATTCACTGAGGAAATGGAGCTCTTGTAACTAGAAAACCCAATTCCTTCTGAATGTCACCAGGCTGTGGTTTCCCAGAACAACTGGAGAAGCAGGGCGCGCCCCAGGAACTGGGACAGGGACCCCAAGTTGGCCCGCTGCCCCCTCCAGAGCGCTTTACAATCAGGTGTCTCTTTCCACCTGGGCTCTGCCAGGGAGGACAGAGGCCTCCAGGGGCCCCCTCGTGCAGAAGAGGAAGCTGGAGGTCAGGGAGGTGAGGACCTCCCCAGGACCACAGCATGAAGAGAGGTGACAGCGCTGGGACCACAGCTACACCCGCCTGGGCTCTGTCCCCTGCCTTCCTCCAGCCCTGCCTGGGCCAGGCCCTTTCTGGGGCTCTGTGTGGGGCGGGCAAGGGGCCCGGCAGGATGGAGAAGCTGCTCCTCGCTCCCCTCCCGGCCCTCCCCAGAGCCTAGTTGACCCCCCACATTTGGACTGGAGTGAGAGGGTGTCTGCTCTGGGTGGACAAGGCCAGGCCGGCTTAGCTGTCGTCTGTAGTCTCGCCTGGGCCAGGGTGCCCGTCCTGAGCCTGTGCTGCCTACTCGGTGCTGAGAGGACAGCGCGGGGAGGGTCACTCTGACCCTGTGACCCCCAGGTCCCCTGGGTGGGTGCACGGCGCCCAGCCCCTGCCTTCCCTCCCAGCAGCTGTCCATCTAGACCAGCACCTCTCAGCCCACTGGTGTCAGGGCAGGAGGAACTTTTCTGAAAACCAACCCTTTGGGGACTAATACTTTTGTACAACACAATAAACATTAATTCCTAAAAACTGACCATGCTCAGGGGAATTGCAGCGATGTCTAACTGTTACACAGTCTCTCAGGTCTGCACTTAACTATAGCCTGTACGTATTCCTCCAGGGAAGGTACCGGTCTGCAGACGCCTCCCATCCCCTCTGCCTGACAACCCTCACCGGCCACCTACACAGACCAAGCGGTCACCATTCCACCCTCGTGTCTCCTGGATGGGACCCCTCCTCTGGCTCCCCTCTGTCAACTACGAATGGAAGCAGGTGTCCGGCCTGGCCCTGTCATCAGCTCCGCACACGAATGGACGGACTCCCACAGCAAGCGGCTCAGAAATCCTTCCATCTGCCCCACGGACAGCGGTTCTCGCCCCTAGAGACCTTTTATTTTTAATGCAAGACTTTCCTCCCTTCACCACGGCCCCCTATGAAGCTGCTGTCAAAAATGGAGATTTCAAACACTCGGGGACTCACCCAAGGTCACGCGGCCAGCGAGTGTCAGGATCAGGGCTCCAGCCAGTTCTGCCAGCCGCTGGAGCTCTGGTTACTAGTATTTGCTTGCGGATGGCGACGGCCTACCAAGCAGGCGATCGTGACCTGGCAAGGTTAAATCTCTAACAAAAGCAATAAAGGTGGTGAAGAAGTGGAACTGTAAAGCTAAACGCTAAACATAACGAAAGTATAAAAATATAACTATATATGCACCAAATAACAGAGCATCAACAACCATAAAGCAGACACTACAGGAGATTCAGGGAGAAAATGAGCACATTGGAAACTTCAACCGGCTTCTCTCAGTCCTGACAGATCGAGTGCGCAACAGTAAGAACCTGGAAGTTTGCTGATTGGGGTGTAAACCCCAATACTCATGTATGCACGTGTGCAGATGCACCCCAAACATCCGCCATACCTCAATCTAGAGACGAGCTGGGCTGCTGCGCGTTGCGCTGCAGGTTACAGACAGACACGTTCAGATGGACAGGGAGCCGCAGACAGTTAGGGGTAAAGGAGTGAAAACATTTACACCAAACTGTTACCGCCTCCTGGACAATGGGGTTGGGAGCTTTACTTTCTTCCGTTTGTTTCTCTATATTTTCTAACTTGTCTACCAAACTGAATGTAGCTCACGTGGGGTTTTTTGTGTTTTTCTGACATTGTTTTGTAGGTACAGGGCACATGGGGTTCTGATTGGTTGAAGGTACTAGTGTATGTAACAGACCTCAGTGAGCCGCCTCCCGCCTCTCCACGGGGGAAGCTGGGAGGATACAGTAAGAAGATACATCACAGACAGCTCCAGGCGCACCGGGAGCCCCGGGAACGTAGGTGCTGGCATTGCCACAAGCTTCCGGCATCTCTCACTCCAGCCCGATGAGTTCCCAGATCTCTCCTCCTCTTCGCTCCCCTCCTCGGCCCTGTCCCAGCACAGGTCCCCATCATCTTGCCCAGGATTAACACCTCGGCCCCCTAACCGCCTCCCAGCCTGTCTCTTCCAGCGCCTCCCCATCCTCCCCGCCAAGCATGCCTCTCCCCTGATGCTTTGAGAGTGAACTTTAAAAAAAAG